ATTGTCCGTGACAGTAGCGTAAAATCACCGTATTTCGACAGTATATTGAGCGTACGATGTCGGTCATAACATCGTAGATTCACTTGCGTTTGCACCGTATATATTCTGTTAATTCACAGTGAATATCGTTCACAACTGTATCCGATGCAGACTGATAACTCGCTCGGTAACAACGGACTTTATACGGTGAAACGACTGTGAAACGACCGTGAAACAACCGTCAATCGACTGTGTTTTCACCGTGTTGCCGAAACCGCCAGGGGGGGTTCCGCCTCCAACCCCCGCCAAGGCTTCGCCCTTGGAACTCATAAATTTTAAATTTATATACTAATAATAATAATAATAATAATAATAATAATAATAATAATAATAATAATAATAATAATAATAATAATTATAGTTGCTGTGTGTGTTAATTCGATATTTGACCAACACTGAAGCTTGTAACCGTGCTGTGCCCTTTTATCATGGTTATTGTGTATGTTAATTCGATATTTGACCAACACAGAAGCTTGTAACCATGCTGTGCCCTTTTATCATGGTTATTGTGTGTATTTTTAATTTTTATATGAGAAATTTTTGTATAAGTAATTTTTGTATGAGAAATTATTGTATGAGAAATTTTTGTCGTAATAGAATTATGGAGCCATAAAGAAATTTTTGTACAAGAAAATTATACCGGATAAATTTTGACGATGAGAAATAATGCCTTCAAGAAAATATTGTAAAAGAAATTATTGCTGAGAATTTATGTCACGAGAAATTTTTGCGTGAGAAAAAAGAGACGGTTACTATTTTTTAAGCCCCATGATAAAATCTGTAAAGTTAGTTTGATCGAATCAGGAATTTCGGAGTACTTCTAAAAAGACACTTTTTTCGGTTTTCTTTCGTCAACGATAGCTCATGAACGAATAAACCGATTTTGACCGGACTGGCGACGATCGACGTGGTTTTTTGATGTTAAGAGCTGATTAGTTTTTAGAATCGATCGGTAGAGCTGTATGAAAGTTATTCTAAAAAATGTCGGAGTTATGTTGAAAAAATCCTTATTTCCAAATATTTCGTCGAGGATATCTCTCGAACCAATCAACCGATTATTATGTTCTTGGCGGCGATCAACGTGGTTTTTTGAGCTCTAAAAATTATTCTATTTTACCAAAAACGATCCGAAAAGAAATATCGATGTATTCTGAAAAAAACACGTTTTTCGGTTTTTTTCGGTTTTCTTTCGTTCACGCTATCTCTCGAACGAATCAACAGATTTTGACCGGATTATCGGTGATCGACGTGGTTTTTCAAGCTCAAGGGCGAATTAGTTTTTGGAGTTGATCGATAAAGCCGTTTAATAGTTATTCCAAAAAAACCACTTTCAAAAAAATTTTTTTCCGATTTTTTTTTGAGATTTCTCGAAATTTCTCAAAATCTACACTGTAAAAAAAACCGGGGTAAGTCCAAAGCGGTGTAGGTGTTAAAATTTGCTGTGTTAAATTCTAGCACCGAAAGCGGTGTTAAAATAACACCGCTGCCGGTATAAATATTTTTTTCCGGTATTAAAGCGGTGTTAAAATATTTCTCGATGTTGAAGATATTCTACTTTGTGAATACTTTTATTCACTAAATTACTACTATTGGGCAGTACTAGAAGGATGGGCAGAGTTTATGGGTGTTTAATTAACAACACGTAAGATTATTAAATCAAACTCTATAAATTCTCTTAAAATACAGTATAGTAATATTCTCAAATATTCAACGATGCATACACAACTATGTGTGGCGGACAAGTGAAGCCAAGGAGCACCGACGTGCCTCGGTGCGACCGGCGTGGCGGACATGCGCATTAGCGTGTGTTCTCTCACACATATACATCTATCAAAGACTCTCCAACACTCCCTCCCTTTGATAGATTCTCTGCCTCTTATGCTCTAGCTGTAACAGAAATATAAGCAAAATTTTGATTAGTTTAACTTACCAATTTTTCTTTGAGATATTTATGACTCTCTAAAGCTAATGGTTTAGTCATTATATCTGCTATATTTTCCTTGATTGTTATCCAGTAAACTCTAACTCTATTTTCTTCTACGCATTGTTTTATGAAGTTTCCGGGGGTATTTGCCATGTGTTTTCGACTTCCTTTCTTTTCTTTCTCCAATAGATTTTCTCTGATTTTCTCTAAGTTGTCGTCAAACATCTTCAGTTTGTGACTTCCGTCCTTCTTGGTGCAGTCTTCTGCAGATCTGTTGTCGCACCAAATCGTTGCTGGTAAAAGTGTCTTTCCAATTGCGAATCTTGTAGCTTTATCTAGTGATATGATCTCTTGACATGAGTCGCTCATAGCTAGATATTCAGCTTGGCATGTTGATAATGTCACGTAACTCTGTTTGTGACTTTGCCATGCGATCACATCTCCAAATAATTTAATTACGTACCCACTGGTTGATGTTGAATCATCGTGATCTCTAAAGCTCGCATCTGTGAAAGCCTCTAAACATTCTTTTTCACCTTTATATCTCAGACCTAAGGATGAAGTCCCTCTTAGATACCTGAATACTCTTTTTACGTCTAGCCAGTCACTTTCTGTGGGTTCCAGCTGTTTTCTGGCTTAGTAATTTACTGCAAACGCAATGTCAGGTCTGGTTGCGTTTGATAGGTACATTAGACTGCCTATAGCTTCTCTGAATGGTACTCTTTTGATTTCTTTACTCTTAAGTGTGTCTTCTGACTCTGGATCTTCTGTCTTCTTTCTTTTACTCTTGTTCTCGACTTGTCTTGTGACCATTGGTGTGCTCTGGGGTTTGCATTCTTTCATGTTGAATTTTTCTAATACGTTCTCTATATATTTCTCTTGATTGATGGTCATCCAGCCTTCTTCTATGTTTCTCTGAATTTGCATTCCTAAGAAATTCTTTGGTTCACCTAAGTCTTTCATCTCAAATGCTTTACTTCTTAAATGTCTCTTAATTTCTTCTAATTTTGTTTTCTCGTCGCTTGCTACGATTATATCGTCTACGTATATCACTAGTATTGCCATTTTACCATCTTTTCTCCATGTGTATAAGCAAGGCTCGTGTAAATCGTTCTCTAAGTCAAGTTTCTTAATTTCCTTTGTAAGTCTCTTGTTCCATCTCTTTGAACTTGTTTTTAATCCATAAAGTGATTTCTCTAGCTTGTATACTTTAATATCTTCTGCCTGTTCATCCAATTCTAAACCCTCTGGGATCTCCATGTAAACTTCTTCCTCTAGTGTCCCGTTGAGAAAAGCTGTTTTTACATCTAGCTGGTTTGCATGTAGTTTATATTTATTTATTATCGCCAGTACAGCTCTGATTACTGGGGGTCTTGATACGGGTGCATATGTCTCTCTGAGATCATATGTATTTTTGTCTTTGAAGCCTCTGATCACCAATCTGGCTTTGAATTTTGTGGTTCCATCTGGCTCTTGTTTTCTCTTGAATACCCACTTTAAGTCGATAATATTTGCTCTGTTTCTTTCTTTTTGTATCTCTGATTTGTTAACTAGTTTCCAGACGTTGTTTTTGCTCATGGACTTGAGTTCTTCTTCGATTGCCTTTTTCCATTGTGCTTTCTCTTTGGTTTGCATAGCTTCACTATAACTTGAAGGATCTTTGTTTATAGATGCAAATAACCATTGTAATTTTTCATCTTCATCTTCAGTTCTATCATTTCTTGAACTCTTCGTGAAGCTGGAATCTTCAATTAATCTGTGGACATGACCTTCTCTATCATCATTCTCTAAATCTCGTTTTCTCTTACTTCTTGTGTGTGGTTTATCTAGTCTCTCTTGTCTCTTGATGTTTTGTTCATTTTCTCTTGGTGACTTTGTCTTTTTACTTGGTCTACCACGTTTCTTTGGCTCTGGTTTTGTGTTCATTGGTGGAGTTTCCTTTTCGGTTACTTCATTCGACTCTGTTTTTGGATTCCATTCTATTTGTGATTCTTTCTCTGATATCACCTCTCCCTCCTCTGTTTGACTCTTTTTGTATACGTCTTTATATACAATTTTCTCGTTGAATCTCACGTGTCTTGACTCCAGGAATTTTCTTGAACTTGGATGCCACAGAAGATATCCTGTAGGTTTATATCCAACGAGGACTGCTTTGATTGCTCTTTCACTGAATTTTGAAGTAGGTTTTGGTATTTTTATGTACCCTATGCATCCAAATCTCTTAATTTGCTCGAAATGATTATTTGTTTTGGGTGCGAATTTATTTAATGGTGTTTCATAATTAATAGTCTTGTGTGGAGTTCTGTTGTATGCATGCATGGCAGCATCCACAGCTAACTCCCACATGCTTGGAGGTAGTCCAGAGTCAAGCATGTTCTGACTTTTCTCTGGATCGTTGCATTGAATCTCACTGATACTCCATTGTGCTCTGGTGTGTATGGCGATGCAAACTCTGTTTCAATTTTCTCTCTTTTTAAAATCTCTTGAAATGTTTTACCTGTAAGTTCTGTACCCTGGTCTGATCTTAACATATCTTTTCATCTTTCCCGAGTAGATTGCGAGTTGATACTATAAATTTTTCTAGAGTTTCACCTGACTCGTCCTTGGATTTTGTAGAGTATGTTCTGGCTAACCTTGAGAAATCATTGATGAATACTGTTATGAATCTCTTCTGTCCAGGATATGATGTTGGTTTGATTGGTCCCATGGTGTCTGAGTGGATTCTTAGTAGTGGTCGTTCTGCTCTGACTCTTGATTCCTTGAAGGATAATTTTTGCATGTTTGCTATTGCACACACTTCACACTCTGAAATGGATTTGTCGAATTTTATTTTCTCAAATCTCTTGTCGATGCTCTGGAGTTTCTTTAAATAATTTAATGAGGCGTGTCCTAGCCTCATATGCCATAACATAGCCTCATTTATTTTCTCTGAGTCATCTTTGTTCTTCTCTAAATTTGTTGATATGATGTTCTCTATGTTTTGTATGGACTCTATATCGTCTACTTTTAATGTGTCTCTGGTAATTAAGCTTGCATCCTAGTTTTCTTCGTTTTTATTTAAGTCTTCTGATGTTGTTTCTGTTGTTTCTGATTCTCTTTGGGACTCCTCTGACTTTGATGAAGACGCATGACTTACTTCCTCCCTCCCAATCACATGATCTATCATTTTTCTATTTTTCTCTACTCCCTCCGACTCTAAAAATTTTTTGTCTTGATAGATTTCATGTGATTGTTTACGAATTTCATCGTCTTTCATCATCACAGCTCTGCAGCAGTACGTGTCGTACTCGTCGAATGATTTAGTTTGCTTTTTTGTGTGCTTCTTGACTCTGAAGTTTAGAATCCAGTTAGGTTTTTCATATTGTCCAGTCAATACTATCTTGTTTGTCTCTTTCTCTGTTACTTCTAAATTTTTATCATTTAAGTTTATGCTAAACCCTGCATCAACTAATTTTCTTAATGATAACAAATTTTCCGAAATATCTTTTGCACTAATTACGTTGGATAACTTAATTGTATTGTTTTCATCGCCGGTTGTGTGAAGCAACAGATATTAGCAGCTTCATTTTTATTTGCACTCTTTATTACTCTATCTCTCTCTACATTTTGTAAAGTTACTCAGAATTAGACTATCGTTAATGACGTGGTCTGTTGCTCCTGAATCGGCTATGAAACTTATGTAATTGTTTGTTTGACTCTTACCTTCACTCTCATCATCTGAATCTTTTACTCTTCTAGCTTTGATGTTTCTTGACTCTTTATCTTTATTGTTATTGTTTTTGTAGTTATTTTTATTATTTTTAAACCCTTTCTTTTCTTGATTCTCTAACCCATTTGTTTTATTTTTATCTCTTTTGCTATTAGAGTCATATCTCTTAGTTTGTTTAGATTTAAAATTATCATGAGTTTTAAATGTTTTACCTCTAGAATTGTCAACATACCTCTTATTCAGTTTAACTGATCCGGAGTTGTGATCTGTACCTTTATGATCTACTACAGACTCACAAATGTAACAATGCCATAATCCTTTTGGTTTTAATGGGCATTCCTTCTCCCAGTGACCAAATTTTGAGCAGCGGTGACACTTGTCGATTTTGGAGTTGGTGTTTACTCTGTTCGCTTTGACCTCTTGTGACTCGCTTCTCTTCTCTGCCTCTAACTGTAAAATGAATGATTTTATTTCTTCCAAACTCATTTCATTGGAATTAGTTCTTCTAATTAAATCAGCGTCTCTTAGTTGGGGTATTATGGGTGTAACTGCTTGATAAAAGGCTGATCTCAGCTCTTGTGCAGTTAGTGGTTCTCCGCTACCACAAGTTTCGTATTCTCTAACAATTGCATCAAATCTTTCACAGAAATCGACTACTGACTCGTTTTTCTGCATTTTAAGCGCGTATAAATTTTTTCGAACCGAAGCAGATATTACATTGGTTTCGTCTCGACGTTGGCCTTTTAATTTTTTAATTATTTCAGCTGGTTCGGTAATATTTAGTATTCTTTTATGGTAATACTCATCAATGTGGTTGATGATGATATCTCTAACTAAATTTTTCTTTTTATCAAGCATCGGTTCTGGTGATTCTGTGTTATTCGTGGATTTTGACTCTAATACCTCTAATAACTCATGACTGGTTAACTCTGATTTTAAATAGTCATACCAAATATCAAAGTTTGATTTTTGGGTTAACTTATAATCTCTCTTAATATTTATTTTCGCGTTTGTTAAATCTTTTTGCTCTAAACTTCTTTTAATTGACTCTAACTCTTTACTAAATTGATTTTCATCATTTTTGTATCTCTTAATGGGGCTTGACTGGGTTGTATTAGATTTTCTTTTATTTGATTCTGATTTTGGGTTAGAAAAATTAGGGTTTACCTCTAAGAGTCTGTTTCTCTCTTTAATTGCCTCGACCTCTTTTCCTCCAAGTTCTGTCAGCATGCTCGCCATCTTCATGTTTTCAATGGTAACTTGGTTTAACTTCTCGCAGGTCTTCTTGAGCAATATGGCAGTATCTGACATGTTTGCTGCATGTCTTGCCATTAGCTCCATTGAAGAAGTTACTCTTACCATAGTTTCCGTCATGAGTTTGTTAGCTACGTTGATGCTTTCTTCCAGTGAGGTGACGTTTAATATTCGTACCATCTTTGGATTGGATTTCTTCTTTTTCTCTTTGTTTACTGTAAAAATATTCTAAATTAGTGTCTGGTTTTGTTTTATTTTAACTCTCGTGTTGAAGCCTCCTCTGACTCTAATGCCATTATTAGAAACTTCTAATCTCTAAACTCTGTTATCTAATATTGGCTTCTTCTAGACTCTGTTCTCTAATTTTTACAGCTTTACTCTAATTATTATTATCAGGACGAACGAAGTAAATATTATTTTATTAAAAATTTTATTTTAACTTACTTTCATCATTCTGGTTTTTACCATCGTTACCAGTGTTTTTTTGTGATGTTGATGGAAGATCTCTTTTTATGGATAGGTCGAAGACTTCTTCATTGGACGCCTCTTGTTCTGTGGTTTCATCTTCTTGATGAACCTCGACAGTAATAGTCTCTGATTCCTCTTTTTCTTGTGACTCTTCTTCTTCGCTCACTTTAGGATTTTCTTGTTGATCAATTGATTGCTGATCAACAATCAACTCTTTTTCTCTGTCGTGGTCCTCCATTTTGTAATACTTCGTCGTCTCTGTTACGGGATTTTGAAACAAATAAATTTTTATTAATTGTTTGATTTATTTAGATTTCTCTAACGCTCTATACTCTGTTCTTAACACCCGACACTGTTTTTGTTTATTTGTTTCGTGCTTCTGAACCTTGACAACTGTACAACAGGTTGTTTTGATTCGAAGCTGGACTGTGAAACTCCACACAGCATCACCTCGGACTTGCACACCTGTACTAGTGTGTAATTTTCACGCACGGCAATGAAAATTCACTAGAGTCGGTTGATCACGCACAAGTACCGGGATACATGCATGAAAATTTCTCTGTCCCTAGTCAATGCGCATGTGTAGTTGTACAACAAATCTACACTTGTACATTGCCCCGTAATAATTAATTTGTTTTTATACAATTGATTAAAACTTTGGAAATTAAAATATATATAATCATAAAATTTCTTTCGGTTTTATTTATTTAAACTAGCTAGTTTTGTATTTGATAGGAATTTATTTTCTGTTTCTTTTATCGTCTGCGTGTGTGTATAAGTACTTATACTCAGTTCTCAGAAGCGTCTCGGGTTATAATGCTCGACCGTGCAAGTCCCAACAGGCAAGCGCGCGCTTTGTGCCGGCTTGTCGACTTGGTGACTCGGCGGCTATCTTGAACTCGTGCAAGAATGCTTTTATTCTCGTAATTTAATGATTTTTAACACTTTTCTCTAATTTTCATTTGAACTTTAATCTCTAAATATTTATGCACTGATTAGATTTATTTATCAGATAAAATAATCTTACCTCGCTATTGGTGGTTTGTCCACACAAGAAATGTCCTCTGATCTCTGGGTGATATACTCTTAGTTATAATTCACAATGAACTTTTCACTTTTTAATTATTTTGCGCAGTGTATGCGTGCACTTAGCCCATAACCTATTGGAAGGATGGGCAGAGTTTATGGGTGTTTAATTAACAACACGTAAGATTATTAAATCAAACTCTATATATTATCTTAAAATACAATATAGTAATATTCTCAAATATTCAAAGATCTATACGCAACTATGTGTGGCGGACAAGTGAAGCCAAGGAGCACCGACGTGCCTCGGTGCGACCGGCGCGGCGGACATGCGCACTAGCGTGTGTTCTCTCACACATATACATCTATCAAAGACTCTCCAACAGGCAGTATATTCATTAATTCATAAAACTATTAATTATTAAAATAATAGATGTAAAATTGTATAATTTTTAAACAAAGTCTGTGTTACATAGGTAACAATTTAAATAATTACAAACCGAAAATACAATTTGTTCTGGATGATACTCATAGAATTTTTATATTTTTTTATGTCATATATTTTTTCTTAACTTTTATAGGCATAATTTTGTATATTTCAGTAAAAATCATAAAAATTACACCGGCCCACAAAAAAAAACTGGTCTGTACTTTTGACCGTACCTACCTATCTTTATGTATTTTGACGTGCTGAATCTGAATCTGAAGTCAGTTTTGCCCGCACACCCTCAAAATTATGAGTAAAATGCAAAAAACCCCCAAAAAAGGCAAAAAATTGCAAAAAATTGTATGTGTGTTTTTTTTTCTTTTTTTTCCCTTAGGGGGGGGGGGAATCCTTTTTACGGATTCTAGGCGTAGCTGTTTGGCCTGGATATGTGGTGACTCGACGCAGCGTCATACTAAAACTCGACGCTAGCGCCCCTACCCACGAAACCCTAAACCCCTTTCCTCTTTCCTCTAATCCCTAATGGAAACCGCCGTAAGGCATTACTTCGTGGGGGGAGGATATAGCGACTGCTCTTCCTTCTGGTAACTAAGGTATTATTTTACCTTTCTTTTAGTTGTTGTCATTTGCTCTTTTTCTTTCGATGGAACGCAAGTCTATAAGGGCTTCTGTTGCAAACGTGTTTGCGGTGTTCCAGGCAGCTTCTGATGACAGCATTGCTTCTACTATTGTCTCTGGTTGGATTTTCTTCTTAAGGATCATCTCCAGCTCATCTCGCTGTGGGTAAAATCGTGGGCACTCAAAGAAAACGTGCTCCACGTCTTCAGCAACTCCTGGGCAGGACGGGCACTCCGAAGAGTCATCGTGCTTAAAGCGGTGTAGATACTTTCAAAAACATCCGTGTCCTGACAACATCTGGGTAAGATAGTAATTGACCTCGCCGTGATTCCGGTTAAGCCAAATATCGATCCGAGATATTAGACGGTGCGTCCACCTATCCTTCTCTGCAGCATCCCATTGTAATTGCCATCGGCCTATGCTATTCTGCCGTTCTTCAATTCTAAATTCTTCAGGGCTCAGTGCAGTTGACCTTTTTCGTTGGTAAAGGGCCCGTCTTTCTTCTGCTAGAACTCTAAGAGGTAGGGTTCCAGTAATGACGCACACTGCCTCTTCTGATATAGTGCGGAAGGCACTAGCTACTCGTAGGGCACTTAATCGATATACTGGTCCAGCTTTTCTCCATGATTCTTGGGTCTCCAGCGCATCAGCCCAAATGGGTATTCCGTAAGTGAGCACTGATGTGACTACTGATGATAATAGTAGCCTCCTGCTCTGCATTGGGCCTCCGATGTTAGGCATCAGCCGTGCGAGACTAGCCCTCACTTCTGACGCTTTGGCACTGACGTGTTCCACCCACTGCTTGAAGTTGAGTCGAGCATCCAGCATCACTAACAGATAACGGATAAATGGTTGTGATATAATTTCTTGTTCTCCGACTCTCAACTTAATGGTTTCTACCGTTTTTCTGCTGCTGATGAGCACTGTCTCGGTTTTATGCTTGGCTAGTTGCAAGTTCATCATGTCCATCCACAAATTGACTCGTCTGAATGTAATATCAAATACCAATTCTATCTCTTCGAGGTGCTTTGCGACGATCGCGACAGCTACGTCATCCGCATATGCTACAAGTTTGACTCCCGTGGACAATGCTATTCTCAGGAGGCCATCATACATAATGTTCCATAGCAGAGGACCTAAGACTGATCACTGTGGCACTCCTCCGGAGATTTTGTACACTTCCGTACCGTTCTTCGTGTCATATTTCAGAACCCTATTCGTGAAGTAGCTCGCTACTATTCAGCGAAGGTATCCTGGTACGTTTTTTTCCTCTAGAGCCCGCATAACACAGCCCCAGTTAGCGGAGTTGAAGGCATTCTTGATGTCCAAAGCAGCCACCAAGCAGTATTTCTTCTTTCCACTCATCCATCTCGTTCCAGCGATTGCATCCTTGGCTGTATCAACACCCAATTTGATTGCATCCAGAGTTGCCCGTCCTTTTCGGAAACCGAACTGGTTCTCTGCCAGAAGTGGATCGACTAAAGCCTCTATTCTCTGATGAATGATGCGCTCGAATATCTTGCCGGCCGTGTCTAACATACAGAGTGGTCGGTAGGATGATGGTTCTTCCGGCGGCTTTCTTCCCTTTGGAAGTAACACTAGCCGTTGCTGTTTCCACTTCCGGGGAAAAGTCCCTTTCTTCAGGCATGTATCGTAGACGTCCAGAAATAATGTCGGTGCTGCCCTAAGGATTGATTTCAGAGCAATATTAGGGATTCCGTCCAATCCCGGTGCCTTATTATCCCCTACTCTATTGCCTGCCTCTATCAACTCATCCAACGTGATAGTTAGAATGTCTTCAGGGTTGCGCTGCTCCAATTTGTGGGTGAATACCGGCTGTTGGGGAAACAGAGCAGTAACAATCTTCTCTAGGAGCTGTGGACACGTAGGTGATGGCATTGGCTGGCATTTCAGGTGGGTCATAACCACCTTATATGGTCTGCCCCATGGATCTCTCTCTACTTCTGCGACCAGTTCCTTCCAGCAGCATCTTTTGCTTTCTTTAATGGCTCTGTTTAGCTCTCGACGGGCCTTTTTATACTCTGCCAACAGCTCTGCAGAGTTAGGTCGACTATAGCCACGCTGAGACTTTCTTCTTTTTTTAAGACACTCTGAGCATAGAGTGCTAATGTGATCGTTCCACCAGTGCACAGAAAGTCTTGAGTTCATGCCACGTTTCCGAGACATACTAACGTCGCAAGCCTGGGTGACTCTTCTCATTAGGTCCTTGGTCTTCTCTTCAGCAGTTTATACCATGATTGGATCGCAGTCTAAGGCTACTGAAGCAGTGGGGTCTTTAACTTTCCACCCAACCGCGCTAGCGCTCCTGTTGTCTCTTGTTAGTTTCTGGCCAGTTGATATCTCCCACAGCATCGCACTATGATCACTGGCTGTGTAGATGTTCAATACTTTCCAAGAAAAACCTCTTCAGGCTAAGCAACTGCTGACAAATGTGAAGTCGACAATTGAGCTTGCCTCTCCCTTGGTATACGTTGGCGTGTCACGTGTATTAGTGAGCTTGCTATTCCACGTGTATTAGTGAGCTTGCTGCCCCAGTCTGCTGCCCAGGAATTGAAGTCACCACTTCCGGTCTTGTTGATCTTATCCACAGTTGAACGAACCTGCTCATCTGGGACGTCCTGCTTTATGCGACGCAGAATCTCGGCATACTTTGTTTTCTCGGCC